GGTGTTTGCTAAACATTTCTTGTCTTCCACGGGCAACACCGCTTGATCTCTTGAAATCTGGAATGTGGTATTTAGTATCTGGAAATTACTTCAAAAATCTCCACTGTGAGGAATATCCAGCCTCCACCAAATAATATTTACTTGTTCAGAAAATCATTATTAGTAACATTTGATAAAAATACTAATGCGAAATATAAATGAATGAACCTGCAGGCGGGTGAGGGAAGCGTTGTATACTATTTTTTGTCGGCAAAAAGCTGACTATCATGTGCACTCTCTTCTCAGCCGATCATCACAAATGTGAAGCACATGTTGAAGTCACGTGCGGTCATCACATTTTGTGCGGGTGATCCACACCGGCCAAAGTACACTACTTTTTCATGATTCGGTAGTCGTGCATCAACTTGGGTATCGTAAATGGCACCAATACAGTTCTGATAAAATAGTTAAAGATGTTATTGCCAGCAAACTAATTCTAGTCAAATTTGAATCGTCGAACCACAAGCATCTCACCCTCATCTGGTGGAATATGGTATGTACATCTTACCTTGCTCTTTAGCTGACTCTTCATTGCTAACCTCTTCTATTGCACCCTGCTCGGTAAAGAACGTAGTTTGGCTCATTGGGCAATTGGAGGTTATGTTCCCAAATCCATGGCACCCGAAGCACTTTCGGGCTAGGACTGTAGTGAGCGTGTTATTCTTCTCAGGCTTCTTCTTACTTTGAGTGACTCTATCTTTTTTATGACCAGTCTTCTCAACTCCCTGAGGCATGCTCCTACTGATGTTCTCCACTATGGGCTGTTGTCTAAACAGGAGTGGTTGCTTGTTTTGTTTCTGTTGTCTCTCAACTTTCAGTGATAAGTTATGAATATCTCTCAATGAGCAATAAGGTTGTAGTTGAACAACGTTGTTGATAGTGGGCTTCAAGCCCCCTAGATATCGGGTTATGGAATGTTTCTCTAGCTCAACCAATTCACATTTCATCTGCAGCTGGTCAAAATGTGTCTTGAACTTCTCAAATGATAAGTCTCTCTGCTGCAGAAGGTAGTCTCAAAAGCATATATTGATGGTAATGACGCGGTAGGTATTTTCTTTGCATTTACTTTCACTTTTTCACCCACCTGGTAACCTTATCATCGTTCTCTCTCTTTCTTTGCCTCGGCAAATTTTCCCACCATAAGGAAGTGCCTTTTTTTTTTCAATTTAATGATCGCGAGCTTCGGCCTCTTATTTTTTCGTACTTTTTTGTACTCAAAGATTCTTTCAACTCACTGTAGTCATTCGATAAAATTGGCTGGATCTAATTCTCCATCGAACTCCTATAGGTCCACTTTGATTCTAAAATTTTAGTGTCCTCTATATGGTGCCTCCTCTCCCGGCCTCCTTTGATAATGAATTCTGAAGCGTCGGGGTCTGTCTTCCTCATCACTAAAGTCATCTCTATAGAAGGGATTCAATTCATCATCCTTTCTTCTCTTCGGCATTCCATGTCACGTTCGAGGGTAATCTTCCCCTGGTTTCTATCATCAATCTCTGCAAGTCTCTATTGAAGTCAACAGTCCTCACTTTGCATCTCTTCCCCGGTAGGCTCTGGCTTGTTTCTCGTCGGTGGCATGGTTAGGGTTTTGGGGAATAGGAAAGAAAAAGTTAGAGTGTAGGTGATTTGAGTATGGTGGATGCCATGAATAGGATAGAGCAAGGGTTATTCTAGATGTGACACCAATTGATACTGGATTTAACTCAAGTCGCAATGAAATATTAATATTATTGTTTAAAACTCAAAGGGGTTACAAAAAAGGTTCTTAAAACATGAATAAAACAACACAAAACACAAATGATCTTTTAGGTGAGAGCGAAATTGGTGAATGCGGCTAAACAGCAAGCGGGATGGTTGTCTAGGGTTTGCAGCAGTAGTAGGAGGGCTGTTGTGGGGTGGTGGTAGCAACAGAAGGGCTAGGGTGTAATTGCGACAATGGGTTTGGGTGTTAGAGAGGGTTGTGATAGCAATAGATGTTGGAGGGTGTTGCGGTGTTAACAGGAGTTGTTGGAGGGGGTTGTGGCAGCAACAGGAGTGTTGGAGGGGGTTGCAGCAACAGCAAGGGAGGGATTAGGATTTGCGATAAGGAAACAAGAAAGGGTTGGTGCGTAGGTGGGATGACAATGACTAGGGAAGGGAAGAAGCAAGGGATTAGGTGAAAATTATCACAAACTTGGAGCAAAATACAAACAGAGCACCACATGTCCTCGGATAAAGCCCTAGCATGGGTGAAAATGCCGACGGCCGAAAAACTGAAAACAAAAAATGGAACTCTCATGACATAACATAACATATATATAGTAGATTACTAGGGGGGGGGGGCCTCTTGCTTTGGGCGGCAGCCATAGCTCAGTTTAGGGTTAGTCGGCCCTTGCCCACCCTAACTGAATTGATCCAACTTCCTTCAGTCGGTTCAGCTTAGTTGAGCCCCAAAGCCCCCGCATCAAGTAGCCACCAATGAGGTAAACTATCAATCAAGACATCTGGACATCTGATAATTCTCTCAAAAAGTGTTGCCTCTTTTATAGTATCGTGTCCTCGGACTCACTATCTACTAGGATAATTAATGTTAGCTATAATGGAGTCTTTCTCCTAAGTTCAGCTTGAATTACTAACATTTCTCCCTCATCCGTGGGCAACTAATTCTATACTATATTCTCTTCCTTTGGGTCTTTATCCTCTACCTCCTCCACTGCACCTTGCTCGATGAATAATATCGCCTTTCTGTTTAGACAATCACATGCAATGTGCCCAAAACCGTGGTATTTGGCTGGGATGGAATTTAGGAACAGGGGGTTGCCTGCACTTTTTTTGCACTATATGGATTTTTCCTTTAGCCAAGTTGGCTTGTGTGCTACTATAGGAATTGTTTGAGGTTACATTATCCTATCATTGCTTTCAGCTAGTGCGAATCGCGACTATATCATGGGTTTTAGTCACGAAGGGCGTTTTAGGACTCGATCATGATCTGTCAACTTGCATCTCAATGTTGGTTTTCAAGAATTGAATGTTTTGATACAAATTTTATATGAATTAAGATGACTTCCCATAGAAATTAGGACAAGTAAGAACTGCAAACAACACACTCAAATGCATAAAAAGTAAGCACCTACAGTTTGAGAGGATGCGATCTCTCCGTAACACCAATAATTTAAAGGATAAACGATCTCTCCCAAACCCTAATCCTAAGACTCAATATAGAAATCTCATTGTCCCCAACTTTAAGCATAATAAGCTTTATGTATACCTCACAATAATAACTAATAAAAAACTAAATTACGCTTAGGCATTGGCATAATATTTTTTTTAACTCAATGACAGCTAGCTTTATCATTATGCTAGGTGGAATGTCCTTGTATTTAAAGCTTCATTTTATTGTTTTGAACCACTCAATGAACTCGTCTAAATTGATGCGACCATCAAAATGCGACAACTCAATGAACTCCAAAATCTGGGCTCTTCTATAATATTTCATGCTAAATTGTAAGGGTATTTATTATTCATCATTGAAAACTGTCTGATGAAAGAGATTTACTTCATCCCCTAAAGCTGGTGAGTCATATTGTGGTTGCGGGTGACTTCTCTGGTTTGCTTTTCTCAAAAGAGGCAAGTCTTTATTGCTTTTGAAAGATTTCTCACTACATATCCTTCATAGTGAGCTTCTGGAGACTTCTTTGTGGATTTTTCCTAGGCAACATTGTGAAATTTTCTCCGGATCAATGTTTTCACTAAATATAGGATTACAAATTAATTTTGGTCAGAGCTTAAGTTTTGGTGATAGGTGTTGGGGTGAAATTTTTGTGAAAGTAGGAAAATTGGATTTTGAAGATTTAGGTTTCGGGATAGTAATTGAGGTGAAATGGTTTGGGTATGGTGGGGATTTTTTTTTTTTTTTGAAATTTTAGATTTGGTGTAGAAAAGATAAATCACTGAAAATTTTGATTTTATCAGGCTCTTAAATTAGTCGATATTATTCTAGGACTCTTATAAGGTGTTTGGAATAAAAAAAGGCGCCAGGGAAGATGTAGGATGGATAATGGGAGTGGGAGACTGGATGGTGGTGGAAATCCGACATGAGCGGAAGCTGGACAGCAGAATGACGGCAGAATGCCACAGGTTATTGCTGTAAACAGCAGTTTTCTGCTGCCAAATGGGCGGTTGGCAGGAAGTTTGATTGTGAATGAGTCCTTCCAACGTCTAGGAGAGATCACCATTTTATACCAGGTTACAAGCAGACCCCTGAAAGAAATCCAGAGATAAAACACTCCGAAAGAGAAAACCAAAAAATTTTCTCCAAATAAGATCACAAGGCAAAAAAGAATCTTAAAAACAAAACAAACAGATAAATAGTCTCCCTGCAGAAATAAATCTAATTAGAAAGAAATGAATAGGAACTAATGCTAGAAAAGGAAAAGGATTATGTTGAAGTTGATAATAGGGTAGAAAATCTATTAATGCAGCTTTCAAGTGGCGGGGCTCGAGCCTGACTCTATCCTACAATCACGGGAACACTAATTTCGCTATATTGCAGAATTTCTGTTGAGTAGGAGAATCCCGTGGAATCGTGCGAGATGTGAGCCGGATTGAACACTCCCACATCAAAGAGGTTCCACATTAATAACAAGTTGTTTGTATCAGTTGCTTTGCAACATAAAGTTCAATTTGCTTAGGAATATTTGTAACATGTTTACCTTAGATATATTTTTAAGTACTCTAAGTACCATATCATTAATATCAACAGTCAGCAGCATTGGTCATACTTTATTTTAAGACTTTATATATATAGCAGACACTTGATCCTCTTATTTTAGTTCCTTGTTGATGTTGAGCTTTGTTAAGTGCTTTTTCTCAGCTTGTGATGCAATGTAGTTCAACCGAGACTTCATCCTCACATCCTTAATCATCTTTCCGTCCTGCTGCTATAGAGTTGTTATTTCAAAGCTAAGGCTTCATTATAACAGGTATTATATTATCTTGTTCGAGTGGAACCATTCACGTCGCTTTCTATTCAACTTCAAGGCGGAAAATTTGACCATGCTGATCGTATGTTCTACGATGTTGGGGCTACATGGAATTGTGTTCTTGAAGACATGAGTGATGTGAAAGAGTTGGTATTACTTAGATAATAACTTTCCACATAGCTTTCACAACAGGATTGAACTGTTGGGTTGTGTTTTGGTTGATGTTCCAGTGTATGTTTTTGATGTTTCTTTGATTGAACTGTATTTTAGGTTCCAGAATTGTTTTATCTGCCAGAGATTCTTACTAACGAGAACCGCATTGATTTTGGCACAACTCAACTTGGAGAAAAGATAGGTTAGCCTGCATTGCACTTAAAATTAGCTTTAGTTGAACTTGTGGAAAGATTTTTTCTTAGTTACACTTGATTATATGCTTCTTTTCTTGATCTATAGATTTTGTCAAACTGCCTCCATGGGCTGCGAATCCAGTTGATTTTATTCATAAGCATAAGATTGCACTTGAGAGTGAATATGTATCTGCACATCTTCATGAGTGGATTGATCTCATTTTTGGGTGAGTCCTTTCTATTAAGCCACTATTGCTGCAAGCAAATGATTATGTGAGCCATTTTTAACTTAAAATCTGTGATAAAATTTTTCAGATACAAGCAACGAGGAAAAGAAGCTGTTCAAGCTGATAACACGTTCTTCTACATCACATATGAGGGTGCAGTTGATATTGATAAAATTACTGACCCTGTAAGCCTTAACTGCCACTACTCGGCCTACAACTTTTCTAAAATCAATCATTCCTAACTGTCATTATTAAATGAAATGGAAGGTACAACAACGTGCTACTCAAGACCAGATTGCCTATTTCGGGCAAACTCCATCCCAGTTGTTAACAAATCCACACATGAAGAGGATGCCAAAAAAAGAGGTTCTGCACCTTGAGGTTGTTATATCATACAAATAAACATCTAACATAAGAATGGCCTCTTCAATTGTATTTCTTAACTAGTTTTGCACTTGAAACACTACCAACCCTAATTTTAGCTCTTAATGAATAGTTGGATTATTTTCTTTCTCAAATATATAACTTGTGTTCTCAAGCTTTTTTTCTTTTAAAGCAGTCACAGGTTGTCTTAGGGGTGAGTCTTTCATGCAATTCTTATTGCATTTATTTGATACTTATATGGGAATTTAATTGAAATGATGATATATCGGATGAAGATATTTTTTCAAATTCACAAGCATCTTTCTTATTTGCCTTCCTCTTTTTCTTAGAGTATCTTCTGCAACCCCAATGAAGTGAGGCCATATGCTGTTCCTAACTCAGGTCGTTGCAATTTACCCGCTTCTTTTGTTCATGCATCCCAAGACTCTATTGTAGTTGTCGATATGAATGCCCCTGCGGCACGTGTGGCAATGCACAAATGGCAACCCAATACTCCCGATGGCCAGGGAACACCTTTTCTATTTCAACTTGGAAGGCCTGTGGCAAGTTCCACCGGTAGTGCATTTATGCGCATGTTTAGAGGATCAGGAGGCTCTGCTTCAGAAGAATGGCAATTTCCCCGTGCATTTGGATTCGCTGCATCAGGAATCCAGAGTTCAGCTGTAGTTGCTGTCACTTGTGACAAAGAAATTATTACAGGTAGGTTTCTCTTTTCAGCTTCATCATTCTGTTTTTTCTGTTGTCATGAAGTTATCCTTATTTCAAATATGTTCTGTGCTGATACCATGTATAATAAACTGCTAAATAGGATATTTTTGTGTCACCATCAAACTTAATTTATGTTTATTGTCCTGCTTTTTCTTGGCTATGTTCATAGTGGAAATATGATTCTTAGTTTGTGATTACCTTCCTTCCCTTGCGTTCTGATGCTTCTTTGAGTAATTGTTGAACATAAGAAGATATGCTAGAAATTGTCGTTTCAGTATTTCCTCATCGTCGTTATTTTACGGTTGATCATTTTTTAGCTAATTGGGAATTTGCTAAAAAAAATATTGTCGGACTACAACGGAAGAGTTTAAGCTTGTAGGACAATTAATTATCACCATCATTACTTGAAGCATTGGGTTCAAGAACTAGTGTCTCCATTGATTTTCTAGAATATGATTATCATAGGACTGTCAATTTATTTTTATTCCAACACAACATCATATGTTTTGTTCTCACTTGGTTAAATTGTCTTTCCTTGTGAGAGGGCATCTTCCTGAAGCTTAACACAAGAACTAGCGCTTTTTGATTAGTTAGTTATTAGCGCTTAATAAAATCACCTAAATCTATTAGTAAACGGAAACTCGGCATAACTTGTACTATTTAATGCATGGATATCTTTCCTGCATAAGTATCTAGATATTGAACTGCTGACGTGAGATTTGCGACCTTCCGCAGTTTTGAAAGGCAATTCCCGTGATTGCGGGATTTCACAATCTTTCGGAATCTCAAAGTCCTGTGATCAGTGATCACAAGACGTAATTTCGCACATAACACCTCTCATTACCAATTTCTTCTTGAATCTTTTTTTTTTCTATTTATTTATTTCTAATTAGGTTATTTTCTGTGATGAGACTATTTAGGTTGTTATGCTGCTGTTTTGAGTTTAGAGAACATTGTTTTTGGTGTTTTTAGAGATTGTATTCTCTGATTTATTATTTGAGGAGTGTTGTATAATTTGAAGTGGTGTGTCTGTATCTTGCGTAGGAACAGATAGTGGAACCTCCTTGCTGCCCAAAAGTTGCTGTTTCGCTGCCCAGGTGCAGTCTTCAGCCGGACAACCATCCAAATAGCTGCCATCTGCTGTTTGCAGCAGGAAAACAGCAGTTTCCCGCTTCCTGTTTGCTGTCATCCCGTCGTTTGTGCCGAAAGTAAACCTCAATCCATCCCTCTTATTCCCGATACTCATCCTACAACTTCCCTAACTCTCATTTGTATTCTTTCACACATTCTAAAAGCCTTAGAATAGTATCATCTGGTATTAGAGCCCGACAAACACAATTTTTTTAAGAATTTATCTTTGCTATCTCCAATTGGAAAGTAAAAAAAAAAGAAATATATATATCTCCACCATACCCAAACTATTTCTACCGCAATTCCTAGGCCCAATGTGAGGTCCGAATTCAGTTACTCGTGGAAGAGGAAAAGATGATGCTAAAATAGGAAATGAAGAGTTGAAGTGGGTGAGATGAGGCGAGGAGTCAGATATTGAAGAGTGTGAAAGAAAGTAAGGAGTTGGGAAACCAAACAGAGGTGACATAAAGCGAGGAGTATTGAGAAGCAAAGGAGATAAATTTCGCCCTATAAATTGTCGAACTAATTACTTGTTGAGTTGAGCGGGTTGCATGTGGTGAAAAAAGACTATAGAGGAGTTTTCGTGCCTGTAAAGGAGACAACACTTGCGCGCAAAGGAGGAGAAGAGTGGTTGTGGCGACGTCGGTGTTGAGTATCGCACGCAAAGAAGGGGCTTGCATATGACAACGGGATTTTTGATCGAGGATAAGGGTAAGTTTATTAGGTCATTTAATAAATAGTATATATTATATATATAAGATTATTATTTAAATATTAAACTTAATGAAATGTTAGGGTCTTAATTCTAAAAGTATTTTGTATAAATTAGTAATATTTAATGTTAATTTTGATTACAATTATTAAACTTAAAGTTTAAATTATTGATATTTTGATTAAAATAGTGCAATACAAGAGTACAACAACAACAACAAAGCCTTAATCCCACTACGTGGGGTCGGCTACATGAATCTTTTTTCTCCATTGTGTCCTATTTAGTGTCATATTTTCATTTAGTTCTTATAAATTAAGATCATTTTTTATACAATAAGCCCAAGTCTTCTTAGTTCTACCTCTGTCTTTCTTAACATAAGTCGAATCTAAAACATCTACTCTCCTAATCGGATCATCAGATGGTTGACGTTTAATGTGACCAAACCATCTAGACGACTCTCTCTAATTTTGTCCGTCACTGGAGCTACACCAACCCTATCACGAATATATTCATTTTGCATTTTGTCTCTAAGTGTAAAGCCACTCATCCACCTAATCATATTCATCTCGGTAACACTTAACTTGGTATTATGCTTCTCTTTTAAAGGCCAACATTCAGCGCCATAGAGCATTACACCACCCTCTTATAAAATTTTCCTTTCAGTCTAAGGAGTACTTTTCTATCACACAATAAGCCAAAAGCATTCCTCCATTTCAACCAACCAACTTGAATTTTACTATTGACATCCCCATTTATATCATCATCGCTTTGAACAACAGATCTGAAATATCTAAATCGTTCGGACCTTTTAATAATTTGATCTCCCCAAGTTACACTTTTGTCACTAGAGCTACGGCTACTAAAATTACATTCCATGTATTCAATTTTAGCTCTACTCAAATGAAGGCCTTTATACTCCAATGTAAACCTCCATAATTCAAGTTTTTCCTGGGCTTTTTCTCTCATTTTATCCACAAGAAGGATATCATCATCAAAAAACATACACCGAGGTACATCCTCCTGTAGATGTCCAGTAAAACCATCCATAACTAAAGCAAAAAAGATATGAGCTTAAAGTCGATCCTTGATGTAATCCAACAGAAATAGGAAAATATTTGGTCAATCCTCCTTCAGTTTGAACACAAGTAACAACTCTAGTAGACATATCTTTAATGACTTGAATATAAGTCATATCAACA